GAATATGCGGATATTCACCTAATTTACGGTGAAGCTTGTCAGAGCTGCTCAAAAACTCTATGCAGAGCGATACCCAAATCGTCGGCATCCGGGTCGTGAAGTATTCCCCCGCACCCATAGAGAAATATCTGAAGGTAAGTAATTTTTAGACCTTTCTTGGTTGAAGCATTTCTTCTTTTAACTATAATTTTTAAGGTCGCATACCTGGAAGGCGTGGCAGCGAGAATGGACGTCCTGCAACGGTAGATGTTAAAGTTGGGTTAGAGTAAGTGGAACTAGGTCCATCGACTTCGGGGAGAATGATGGAAAGACGGACTGGAATACCAAAAACTACAGTTCACAAAGCTTTAAAATACCATCCCTACTACATTCAGCGTGTTCAGGCTCTACAAGAGAGAGATTACCTGTCGAGGGTTAGATTTTGCAGTGAAATGTAGCGAATGCATGAATCAGACACCAACTTTTTTAATAAAATAATTTGGAGCGATGAATCATCAGGCAAACGTGATCCTCACGAAATGAGATAAGATTGTTGACAGTACCAGTACAAAATAAATTTATGGTGCGGTATTTTTAAATGTCAGATATAAGATCTCTATAAGCGTATTTTCTTAAATGGTGACGAGCTTGTATTAGAGTAGAAGGTCGCCAATTTGAGCATATTTTATCAATAAATGAACAAATTTTTCTGCAAACAACTCATGTATGTTTTATTTCACGTGAACCCATCCCTCACAAAAATAATTGATAGATATAACTCTTGTCAAGGCCGTATTTAGGGGGGATGTGGGGGTTCTGACAATTTTTTGAGTCTCCATGGAGGAATCTGAAATTTGCCACCTGTGCGATACGCTTTAACCGTCTCCAATCGGGACCAAAATTTATATGTGATATCTTCGACTATAGTAGCATCGACGTAGGGGTTGAGGCTTAAGAAATCTGATGTAAAAATTTGCTTCCTACGTTTAAGGACCACCCTAATGTATATATAACATGAACATTTACCGTGATCGTCTACCTGGTACGGTAATCAAGAAAGAATTACTGAATAATAGATAAATGAAAAATTATCCGTTATTCGGTATCATTTGAATCATGAACGAAAATTTGTTCTTCATTCGAAATGACTTGAATTATGAATAAAAAGTAATTCATTATTTGAAATTATTTGAATTAAGAATAAAAATTAATTCTTCATCCGAAATTACTTGAATGATGAATAAAAATGTATTCGTTTTTTTTTTTTAAATACTTGAATGACAAATAAAAATGTATTATTCATTCTAAATTACTTGAAAGAAAAATAAAAATTTATTCTTCATCCGAAGTTACTTGAATGAAGAATAACAATTTATTCTTCATTCGAAATTACTTGAATGATGAATATACTTGAATGATGAATAAGTATTTATTCACCATTCGAAAATACTTGAATGAATAATAAAAATTTATTCGTCATTCAAAAATAGAAAAATTATGAATACAATTTTATTTATTGTTTGAATAAAAATTAATTAAATTAATTAAAACTCGCATCCTGGTCTTCTCCACCGTGCTTGAATGGCTCCGCTGGGAGGCCGTAAGCTCCATCAGTTTTGTTGTTTTTTAGTCGCGTAATCGCTATTCGTACCTCTTCATAGTCAGGCGCTGGGACTCCATCGTCCTCGACTGGGGGCTCGGGTTCATCTTCTCCACTACTTTGCATTTGCCATTCAATAGGGCGGAAAAGTGTTCCCTCCATAATTTGAGTATGTTTGGAGAACACTGTTGACGCAAAATTCATGAGGTTTGTAATTTTTGAAAATATGTTTTTAAAATGACACGAAAGAAATGATGTTGCTTATTTCTCACCACGGCAATAAATCGGCGAGTCACCAATTTGTTGCCATTGACGATTTTTGCCTATTTCTAATGTTTTGTATGGTAGGTTTGATTGCTTCAACGGTTGCCTCTAGTGAAGTTTGCATACATATGCATGTATATATTTTCTTTTAAATAATTTACCTCTTCTGTTTATTTACAAATTCGATTCCGAAGTCTAAATAAGATCTCCAATCCTCATCGGGAACGTATTTGAGATATTCCAAATTCTTTGCATCTAGTTTTGTATCATCTGTTTGTAAAAGAAAGCACATGTAGTAATCAAAAATTATATTGAATACTTCCAAGAGGATTGTAAAGGGTGTGATGAATATAAAAAAATAAGGTTTACATTGTGGGTGTTAACACCTGTCTGGTTATCTGGTTATGTGGTTATTTCTTCAAGCTTTTATTTAATTTTGACGCTGTTTGCAACAATAAAATATATTATAGAATAAAAAAATTTAACCAGATATACAGCCCGAAAACTAGACAAGTGTGAACACATTAGCTTTAAAAGTCAAAACTATTCTCTCAATTCGTCGGCCGTAATTTTTTTCTAATCTTATTCTGTGGAATGATGTTAAATATGCTTGGGGAGCTTTGGAACTAAAAAGCGAAAGAGCCAGCTCTTTTAATTTAACTAATTCATTAGTTCGTTCATTAAAGTGAACTAAACTTTTCTGTGGCAACACTATTAAAAGTGGAAATGAATCTTTTCATATTAGGGATTTTAATTTTTCGGCTTTTTCTGATCCCGGGATTTTCGGGATGCCGTTGTCACAATCCCGGGAGCCCGGGGTTAGTCCCGGGATTTAGATATTCATTACTTTTCAACAACTTGAATCGAAAAAAATCTCTTCTATATTGTTTGAGAAGCTCTCCTACCATGAAATTAATAATAAATAAATGGGTTTGAAAACATGGTACAATAATTACAGGTATTATCTTCCCAGAGAGCGCATATTCCGATCTGCCTTATTTAAAAAATATCATTGTTGCCCACACTAAAACATTTACTGTTGGAAATATCCCTTTTTCCATACCCCATATACCATATATGTTCACGTATTTTTTTTAACAAATCATCTTACAGAGATTTTAATTAGGGGATTCCCTTAAGCTCGAAAGTGGCTCGAAAACCACGAAACCTCGAAACTTTTCCAGCCTCGAAAAACAACTGTCAAAAATTGTATGAGTGGCGATTTTCGCGTGCCTCGAAAACTTTCGAGGCAAATTAGTCGCGAAAAAAGCCTCGAAAAGTCGTTCGTAAGTTTCAGTGTTGCCTTTATATCCGAATATTCTACGAACTTACTAACCTTGCGTTTACATAAGACAAGACAATCGAGAATATATGAATGAATTATTTGAATTCGCTTTGGCTATTGCCTTCGAAAAAATGCCTTGTGTAAACTTCCAGTAAAAGAAAACAAAAAACTGAAAGTAGGCAACATTAACTGAAAACAGCTGAAAAGAGCTTGAGCAGCATGAACAAAGAGGTAAGACAAATTAGCTTATTTTGGAAAATAAATAAAACCTTTTCTTTCAGCAATTAAAAGAAAAAACGCCAACTCCAAAGCGCCGCAGATTAGCGTCAGGGCATAGATGGACTGCTGAGCAAACGCGAGCTCTTGTAGAGGCAGTGCGAAACGAGGTAAAAGGCAATCCGGAGGCATTTGAGGTGTGTTTTTATATAGTACAAGTTGTCGAGCATGTCATTTTTCTCGGAAATTTTGTAGAAGCCTGTCGCCCAAAAGTTTTACTCAAACATCTCGGAAAAAAATTGGATACTTTTCCAAATAAATTGGAGTACAATGAAGGGGAAAATGCGCCACCTAAAGGTAGCTTACATGGATGCAACGAAATGGAAGGGGCAAACTGGAGCTGGACTATTGGAAAAGGGTGAGGAAAAAAGCGTTGCAAGTGTGTTGGAGTATGTAAACCCTCCATTGTAAAATATCATCTAAAGCTTCTTTTGCAGAGTACGTGGAAAAAATATATCCATTTTTTGATATATTGGAGGAGATTTTCGGACAAAGAAAAGGTGTCAACCCTTCTGTGATTGTCGAGAGCGAAAACTCTGAATGAGCTGTCAAACTTCGGAATTTCTCCATTGTTTACGAGGCTGAAAAAAGGTGCATTCCCAAAAACAGCCTCGAAAACTTTCGAGGTTTTCGAGTTTTCTGCTCTTCGCGTTTAAGGGAATCCCCTAAATAATTTTATTGAGCTTTCTACCACGATTATTTTATTAGGAAAAATGGAAAAAGCAAAAAAAGTCTAGCAGCTATTTCGGAGATCATCACATCTCCTAATCAGACTTCATTTTTCTAGACTACAGCGGGGATCGCGTCATCGATGTACAAAGTCAGAAGCGTTAACCACTGAGGGGCTGTCCATATATTACGTAAGACCTTTGTGGGGGAGGGGGGTCTAGAATTTTCTTACTTTTTCTTATATGGGGGGAGGGGGCGTCCCGTAGATTCTTACGTAATATTATTTTGCTTGTATTCTTATACAAAATTGTTCTTTATAAATATGAAAATTCACCCAATCAAAGTACTAAATTGCATTGAAATGAAAAATATACATTAAATACGGAGGATATTACAATTTTTTACAACTTTTGCTTTAACTTTTCTATTTTTCTAAAAAAACGTTACTCTTCGGTGTCTATTATAACCGAAAAATGCAGCTCGAACACAAACAGGCGAAAACTCCCTTACGTAATATATGGAAAGCCCCTAAGCATTCACAAAAAGCTTCACTTGATCTTTTCTGAGCCCCAGCGTCGTAGAGCACCGAGGATAATTTCACGACGCGGGCGAGAGCTCATGTGTGTCATCATAGAAGATGAAACCGAGGATATTGTTGAGTGGGTGAATCAAGAAGAAATTTCAGTGGACTGTGAAAATGAAATACCTTTGAGTGAAAAAGAAGTACGAAATATCCCTGTAGCTACTCCTTTTTCAGATTGGCTGGCTGGACCGTGGACCAAAGAAACCGACAACAAAGAATGACTGGTATAACTATGTAAGGAAGTTTTTAAGACTGTTCTTTATTTATACAAGCAAAGTGTGAAACTTTCGCTAACATCTATCTATAGCGGAATACTACCCTTTATTTTAATATATTAAATATTATTTTCTGAAATCCTGTTAAAAAGATATAACCAATTTTATGCGTACCGATTTTGAGTGAACAATGCTTTATATAGTATTTTCTAATGTTTAATTGAAAAAACATGTCTAGGGGATTTTTAATCTTACGTAAGATCTGTGGCGGGGGGAGGGGGATCAATTAAATCGTACAATTTATTACGTGAGGGGAGGGGGGGTTCAAAACAGGCGAAAACTCCCTTACGTAATATATGGACAGCCCCTGAGCTATGCACACCCCGTAAACTCGTGTTGCTAATTCATTTGGTGACAGGTAATAAGGTCAATGGAAATAATGTCAATTGACTTTATTTCCCACCCTGGTGCGAAATAAAGTCAATTGACATTATTACCTTTTCAAAAGCGAAATAAAGTCAACAAAAATTTGGAAATAAAGTCATTGACGCTATTTCCTCATTAAAGTATGTCGATTCATAGAAAAAAATGTTGTTCTTACAATAAACATTGCCCCGTAAGTGTTGTTTTTTAATAGAAGAAAAAGGCTTTTGCCAAACCCTCAGTGTTGTGATATTAATCCACACACAATCATGAACTACCACCAAGTGATTCTATTAAAAAAGATTTAAATTACGAATATGTAAAAACACGATGCGAAAAACTAAACGCCTGCGCACAGCTGGAATATGAGAAATATTTGAAGAAAGAGTGGAGAAATGATCCATAAAGTGCAAAACATTTTTCGTTTCTACAAAAATAAAGCGAACACTATTAAATTGAAGAAACAGTACATGTCCAAAAACCCCGGAGCAGCACTGAAAGAATTCTGTGTTTTAAATTAGCATATTTTGAACGAATTCGGAATGTCTAAGGTGGAAAAGAACCCAACTTTTCTATAAGGAAACAATTATAAAAAAAGAATTTTCTTACACTGTATTTATGCCTCCTCAGCAGTCATTTAAAAGCAGCTAAGGAGAACGACGACACTACTTATTAGATGGCACATTCAACGAGCCAATGTGCCAAAATGCGGGTATAAACAATTATTTATTATTTAATATCGGAACCGAGATCATATAAGTTAATTGATTGGTTTTCACACACTTTTGAAACACAAATTATATGCTTTTTTACTGCAGACAAGTTGTTGCCTCAAAACACAGCAGAAATCTTCCAATCAGGGCTGCCAACTCTCCTTAGTTATGAGGTGCCATATTGAGGATAAAAAAAGTACCAAAATGTGCCAAATAGAAAATTAAAAGTGCCAAAAAAGGTGTAATTCCTTTTAATTATTCACATTTAGCAATAAAATAAAGCCACATTTTCAAAACAAAAGTGCAATGATAAAATAAGATAAACCAGTCGAAAAGCCTTTATAAATTAGAAAATTTTAGTTGAGAAAAAGAAGTGCACGCAAAGGATTTCACAAAACTGTATTGAAATGTTATTTTTTTTACAAAAGTGCCATTTTGGCATTTTGTGCCAAATTGAAAAATTAAGTGCCATTTGAAGTAAAATAGGAACAAATGGCACGGTTTGAGCCAAGTTTGCATCCCTGCTTCCAATAACTTACAAATATAATAATGTGAAATATCGAGGGCTTGAATTCATTAATATCCTCTATCTGCA